ATTGGACCAATATAGTTTAATCTGGATCAGAAGCAACCCAAGAGTATAAACATCATCCTCCAAAGAACGGAGCCGTAAACTTGGTTGGATAGGGATTAGCCCAAAATCAACCCCAGCCCAATCCATAACCGACTTCCAACCAGCTCCCAATTTCAAACTGCGGTATCAAAATTATAAAGTACATAAGAAACCTCTCAAAATAATTGTTCTAAACAAATAGAATTACAATTATTGTCTTCTTATATAATCAAAATATAAATATAAATTCCATAAACTATTATTTATTTATAACCATAATAACAAATTTAATAACCATGGAATAATCTTACTTGTCAAATTTGATCAAGTTAGGCCTAGGTAGGCAGCTTCAGATTGGTGTAAATCCGGGTTCAGTTGCTCTGACTTGGCCCAATTCACATTAAAGTCAGGTTAAAAAATTTGAATTCAAACCTATCAAGAACCCAAATCGATTTGGTTTTCAATTTACCCACCCGAGTTGGAATTTATATGAAGTGTGGAGGTGATATTATGGATTAAAGTTCATATTAAAAAGAATAATTAGAAAGATGATTTACAAATATAAGTTTTCATTACAGAATTCTCACCAAAAACCATGTGAATGTGGCAAATACTCAAAATTAAATTGGATTTGATGGTTCTTCATTTAAACTTGAGGGAATCAAGTTTGTTTTTGTAATTGTTAATATATATTCATTCCGTTCACCTCAAACTCGAGCTTGGATAAACTAAGTCATTGATTTATTCCGTTAGAGTGGACTTGGAATGTGAATTTGGTTGGACATATCAATGACTTGGTATGCTTAACACATCTAATATTTACTCATCTAAAAGTTAAACTTTGATGTACGGTATATATTAAGTTGCTCACTGCTATCAAGAATTACGCAAATAGTGGATGAGTGACTAGTTATCTATGAAAAAAAGAGAAGAAGAGGAGTTGTATGAGTTTGTTTTTCAAGTTTTTTTTTTTGAAAAAAAGGAGAATAAAAAAGAGTAAAATGTTGTCAATTTGTTTTTCAAAGTGGGAGTATAGAATAGACTGGATAGTGAGTCATCATATTCCATCTCATTAAGTCACCATCATTTCTAATAGTTGCGTGTGTACGTGTATAATTAAGAAAATAATTGTTATATTTGGAGGTGTTTGATGAATGCATTGAATGTGAGTTGGAAGTAGGGTCATTCGGAATCAATACTAACAAACGACCCCTCAATAAACTAACCAGATAAATGCAAATCCCTCTTTAAGGATTTCTATATTATCTTAGGTTTTGCACGGGCTGCTTCTTAAATTACTAATAAAGGTTAAATTCATTTTTGATAAATATGTAGATTCGGTTCAAAAGTATATTTTTTGACTTGCTATCATTGCCCACAACTTTTCTTTGTCCTTGTTTAGTGAATAAATGATTCCAAAATAATCAAATATTTATTCAAACTCTAAAGTCCAAACGTCCAATTAAAGAGACAAATGTTTTTGGCACCACATAAAAACGGATTCTCTTGGTCTTGGGCTCTCTTCGCAAAGTTGAAAATGATACGAGTTCCATCCATTTTTATCATTCATTGATGTGTAATTTATTAAACTAAATACTTTAAAACAAAGTGAAGAGGACCCTATTTTATTGATTATCCTGTTAGGTCTAATTTGATTGAAAAGAATGAAATGAAAGGGAAAGAAAAGAAATGAAATAGAGGGATGTGATGTTTTATGTTTGATATAAAATTTTGTAAGAAAAAGGAATGGAAGGATCTCAAGGGATATACTTGAGTTTTTTTTTTTAATTTTTAGGTCAAGAATGTTATATTAGAAGTTAGAGAATTGAAGGCTTGAAGTTGGGTCCTCAAAGATAACGGAAAGCAATCCAACTGCTGGGTTACGAAAGCGTTCACAGGTACAATAAAGTTTGATGAGTTGGTTTTATTATCATTTTAAAAATTGAAGAAAATGCTATCATCTTTAATGAAACTTTTTTAATACCAAATTTACCTTTATTTTTATAAAAGACAAAATCTATAGAAAATGGTACGGTGATAAATTTATTAAAATTGTTTATTTTCTTTTCTTTCTCCAAACATGAGTAATATTTTTTTTTTTTTTCTTCGTTGGTCAGCCAAATAAAATAAGTGGTTCACACTATCCTATCATTACTTTTATCTTCTTTTATTTCTTAATTAATGTTATATTCTTCTTCTTTTTTTATGCTATACCAAACATAGTCTAAGAGTTTTAGTTAAATATTGCTTGTTAGAGTTCGTCAAAAATTAATCCAGACACTGTAGCATTACTGAAGTCACCACAAAGTTACGATATTATCAAATTTTTGAAATGTGAAATATTGGCGTAATTAATTGCAAAAAAAACAAGTCATAGCTATTTTATTTTAATATTTTTTAGGACAAAAATATTAAGAGTTAGTGATTATTTTTGTGGATAGAAAGATAGAATATATGCCCAAAACTTGCACCAATTTCCAAACAGGAGAGACAAAACAACTACCCGAATAAGACGGCACTTGCAACTATAGCTACTTTATTGGATTCTTAATTTTCATGTAATGGAGGCACTCAATCGAATTCCAAGTGGAGAGTACTATATTTCACGCCCCCAACTAAAGTTTATGAAATGATTGGTTCGTTACTTTATGGCATGCCTTGAATATTCAATAATATTGAAGATAATATAAAATGGTTGGGACAATTCTATTTTATCATTTAAGTGGGACTTTCATTTGAGTTTTGATTTAAAGGGGGACTTTTGTGCCTTTCCGCACGGATGAAAATTAATCATGCCATCACCTTTGTGGGAAAAATAATAATTACTATGTACAATATCATCAATGCCTCACCTCAACCTTCACTTAAATAAATCTCTAGTTTTGACTCTATTTCTACACAATCATTAACATAAAGTAAGAGAGTGTGATAAGTAGGTAATCAAGATAATGTTAAATTTCTAGTTCTAATGATTGCCACGGTGATCTTTTAATTGCTTGTTACAAATAAAAATGGATAATAATAAATTTTATGTCATGATTGTTTTAATAAAATAAAATTATATATATAAATTTTATAAAGAGTAACGAAAGAGTGATCGATTCAAACTCCCAACCACACCTATAAAGAGTTGTAAACGTGGCCGGAGAAGCTTTCCATGTTCTTGAAATTTGATAATAGAAATATTGACACCACATAGTAAAACTTACTTGAGATGTTTATAAATAGATTTTAAAATTTTAAGTATAGGGTAAAAAAGCGTATCATCATGCTCATTTGACACTCTAAAATCATATAGATTTGGACAAATAATCTTATTATCAAATTGCAAAAAGCAAAATTTGATAAAGTGATTTTAAGAATCAATCACTCACGCGGGGAGGTATGATGCTACTTTGACTTTTTTTATTTTATTATCTCGTACCTTTGCTTTGTCACACAGGTTGTTATATTGGCTATTGTTAGCTTCTTTTTTTTAAAAAAAAAAAAAAAAGAAAAAGAAAAAGAAAAAAAATTGTCTCACGACTCCCACTTGAATAGAATTAAGAGACTAATTTACTCTTCGTTTTATTTAATGTAATGAAAAAGGTGAAGGGTCCAATGGAAAAAGGTAGATGTTGTATCACAGTCAATTTGAAGAAAGCCAAACTAAGTAGGTGTTATTTTGCTCATGACAATTAAGATTGGATACTCCGGATCATTGAGAAGTAAACAATCCTATCTATTACAGTTAATTGTATCTATAGTCACAGTTAATTGGGTGGAAGACTATAGATTTCTATATGGTTATACTATTGCAAAGGATAATAAAGAAACTTAAGTATTCCTTTGTTGCTGTGTAAGATATTAATCAAATACTGTATACCACAGCACAAATGTGAAGGATCAGACAATGAATTTGGACGAGAGAGGAGGAGTAGATAAGCCACGTGGTGAAGGTGGAAATATTTGCTTTTTACATGGCATGTTCTTCGTCATACAAACATTTAATGCATTCGGCACCTTTACAGCGATGATTATTAACTCATTTTAAAGCATTAATTGTGATCATAAGTATCTCTGTTGAGACACGTAATTTATGTCTCTTTATTTTTTTTACTCTAAACACGTTCCGACTCCTCATCCTCCTATCCAAATCTCTCAAGTATCACAAAGAGTGATGAAGATTCAAGGTCCTACCCCCATGTGAGCTTAAGGTGTGCCATTGCCTAGTGTTTTTGGTAAAGTTTGGTTTATGGTAAGGATTACAGCCTCGAGATTATGGTAACCATGCTTATGGCTGGGGCTTTGCTCGAGAAATGCTTTTTCGAAGTCCAATGACCCATCTTGTTGCTGCTGAGGTTTGATTTGTGCTTTGAGAAATATATCAAAGAGGGATTCCATATCCAAATCTAACATACTTGTGATGTGATTAGATCTTAAGTCATGAATTAAGATTTATTTTGAATTTTTAACGATTCTTGCGTATGTACCATCGTGTACCAAAATCAGATGGCATATAAATGATGTACTAGAATCAGATGGCATATAAATGATATTTGATTTTTTAACGTAGCACGTTTTCAATAGTAAACGGCAAAACAATAAGCAACAAAGCTAGAAAACAAAAAAAAATGGAATTTGGGGTCCTCCAAAAGTAATTGTTTTCCACTATAGTTTTAGTATTTGTCTACCGAAATAAAAAAAAATAATGATCAAAATACGAGGCTCTAACAAGTTATATATTCCCATGTAGCCCTACCATAGCTTGTCCACAGTGACTCCACACACAGTCACAAATGATGAAAATGGCTGGGGTCGAAGTGCTCATAATACGTGCCCTATATTACAGCGATCGATATTGACAAACTTGAGCCCAAATTAAGAAAAAGTAATCACTCCTTTCTCTTGCCAATGCAAACAAAATTCGCTAGTAAACAAACACACACACACACACACATATATATCAAAATATTAACACATGAATTATTAATATTAGTCAACTTAACTTTTGTTATTGAAAGGAATACTCTGAGCTTCAATATTTTGATAGTTTACTCTGAGCTTCAATTATGTGCTGAAATGGGCTTATGAGGAATACTCTGAGCTTCAATATTTTGATAGTTTACCACAAACATTTGATGGAAGTTTTTATCACAGCCACCATATATAAATACCGACTCCCTCTTATGGCATATTCAGGCTTTGAGCTTCCAGAAGATGTGTGTGTATATCCATCTCTAGTCACTATCACTCTCTCATAAGCCCATTTCAGCACATAATTGCTTGATTCTATCATCGATTTGCAACTGTGTGTATGTGTGTGTCTATATATCTACTCAGGATACATTTATTTCTATAGCTTATTTGGTACACATAGTAGCTAGCTAGCTTAGCGCATACAAAACCCCATTTTCCACTCTCTTTGCTTCATATATCCACTAAACCCCATTCACTCCAACTCTTCCACAGCTTTTATATATTTCCTCCATCTCCCACCTCTGCTATAACACAGAGCCACTACAAAGCTTCTTATATATATATGAATTAAGGTAAATTAATTAGTGAATTTACAGTTTCTTCATTTAAATTTCTATGCATTTGTAATTGCAACGTGTATAACCTTGCTGCAGGTTCACCATGAGGCTTTATTTCACGGCTGCCTGCAAACAAACACAGCCCCTTGTGAGTTTTCCGGGGGGAATCAACATGGAGCCATTCATCAGCCGGCCACGGAAGGACAAGGTGGTTGTGGTCATGGGGGCGACGGGTACCGGAAAATCAAGACTGGCCATCGACCTCGCCACTCGTTTTCAGGCGGAGATTGTGAATTCGGACAAAATGCAAGTCTATAAAGGGCTGGACATAGTCACCAACAAGGTCACCGAGGAGGAGTGTCAAGGTGTCCCCCATCACTTGTTAGGAATTGTGGATCCTCATGTGAACTTCACAGCCGCTGATTTTCAACACCACGCATCACTAGCCGTTGAATCGATCGTGAGGCGTGATCGCCTCCCGATCATCGCCGGAGGGTCCAATTCCTACATCAAAGCTCTAGTGAACGATGACATCCAATTCCAATCAAAATATGAGTGTTGCTTTATTTGGGTGGATGTATCTCTGCCCGTCCTTCACTCTTTTGTGTCCGACCGAGTTGATCGGATGATAGCGGCCGGTTTGATAGATGAGGTGAGAGGAATATTCGATCCAAATGCCGATTACGCACATGGAATCCGGCGAGCCATTGGAGTTTATGAAATGGATCGATTTCTGCGAGCAGCAAGTCATGATTCAATTGTGGATGATGAAACTCGTGCTCGACTTCTCGAGACCGCCATTGAGGAAATCAAGGCCAACACTTGCAAATTAGCTAGTTACCAATTGCAAAACATTCTAAGGCTTCAGAATCAACTAGGATGGAACATGTACCGCCTAGATGCGACCGAATCATTTTCGAATCGAGTAGAAAAAAATGGTCACCAAGCTTGGGAGGAGCTCGTGGTCGGACCAAGCACATTGATTGTCGAAAAATTCCTATGGGATGACGACTTTACACTCGGTATGAATGCTCCGTCTTCCGCCTCCATCATGGCGGCATCGGTGGTGGGGGCAGCCACTGCCACTGCCGCCGTGGCCGCAACTCACTAGAAGCAGTTAGTGGGGGCTCAGTAATGTACCAACCACTACATTATCCTAAGGCTGGTGCCTCTTTTTATCCTGACGTTGGTACCATAGAAATTAAATTACGGCGGACTAGGAAACAAAGTGCTTGTCTAGGTCGTGTGCCTAATGTTTGGAGCCGTACAGATGGAATCATTTTGGAAATCCGTGCTTGCGCTGCTTTACATACATGCGCGGGAGCCTATTTTTGGTATCATATTAAGTATGTTTTTGTGGGGTTCAGTTATATTGCTGATGTGATATATGAATAATCCTGCGGTGTCCGCACGGGTCCAATGTGGACCCCGCATCATTGTGTACACGAGCGAGATTGGCGTTTTTGCTTTTTGGTGTGTGTCTATCCTTTGGCGTTGAGCTGTATTATTTCGAGGTTGACAAGTGTGTTTTTTTCTTCTTCTTTTTTTCGTTTTTGTTTATTATTTTTATAAAAAATCTGATTGAATATATAAGGTGTACGACAATGTTCTACAGTTGTCAACGGTTTAATAACCACTTGTATATCCCTCCAACCTTATCTCATTGTTATTTTGTCCTAATTTTGTATGAATTGCGTTCTCTTTTGTTTTATTAGAGGTAATTTTTCTTGTATAACATTTCATTTTTTAAAATTATTGAAAGTGATTTCAATTCATGTTAATTTCCGCCATTCAATATTGTTCTTCCACTTTTCATATAACCCAAGATATTTTTTTCCTTTAATTAGTTTTGCAATATCGTCAATTAAAGAGTTTTTTTTTTTTTTTACTAAGACATGTTACTTTTAAATTTTCAATCACATTTTGATTAATAACTTTATCTATTCTGATCAATAATATTATTTATTCTAATATCTCATATTATATCAAAAAAATATTAGTCGCGTGTGAGACAGTCACTTTCCTGATGTAATAAAATATGCTTTATTGGACGTTTGATGTAAAATAAATCTCATATTACATCAAGAAAATATTAGTCGGGTGTGCGACCGTCACTTATCTGATATGATAAAATATGCTTTATTGGACGTTTGATGTAAAATAAATCTCATACTACATTAAGAAAATATTAATCGCGTGTGAGGCTGTCACTTTTATGATGTAAGTTGATGTAAAATTAGCAATAATAATTGAAATATTATGCCGACAAGAAGATTTCAATCCTGTTTCACGTCCCAACTGTGGTTCGGTGGAACCTCACAATTCATATGACAAATAAATTGAATTCATAAAGGATTCAAGTCTAAAATCTTAGCGACCCCTAGGTTTAGCTCCTATGATTTAAATTTTTCACTTTACTAGTAATTCACTGTATTGCCATCATATATAGAAAAAGCTGACAACATAAAAAATCAAATCACTAAATAAATAAAGTAATGATAGGAAAAAATTGGGACCCAACTAGAAACCATTGTCACCTCATGATTCCATACATATATAATAATACTATGATGATAATCTTTATACGCACTCACCACCCCAGATTTGAAAGGAGTGTGGGACCCACTTTAGAAAGAAACTTATTACTCCGTATGTTTTTAATTCGAGTGATGAAGCTAGTCAGTCTTATTCGAAATATCCACAGGATTATCACTATATATATATATATATATATATATATGAGTCAATCTCATTTTACTATTCCATAATTTTTTTTTTTTGAGATGTTTAATTATCTCAATTTTTTTGTTGTTGATGAATTCATCTTATTCTATTACACCATATAAATTTTGCGGATTATAAGAAGACTCCATATTAATTTTATGGCTCCACCAAATTTTGTTCAATTTATAAAGTTGATCAGTACTTCATCAATGAACTTGGATTACAAATTTCCATATTATCATTGCAATTCAAACATATAAATCAATTAAACTAGTAGTCCAACACTTCAAATCATATAAAAATTAATCGTGAAATCTTAAATCAATAAACTTTCTTTCAATCTATATTGTACGTAAAAAAAAAAATACGTACGAAAATATTTTCGCAATGAATGGCATTTTTCTTTTGATTTTTTAATTCATTGCATGTAGAAATTCACAAATGGTCAAATCCAGCTTTTGTAAAGAGAATACTATAATTAATATCCGGTTTGCATCCCAATTAAATTGTAAAAAGGGGATAATGCATCCTTAGCTTTCATTTGTACTTAAGTCCACATCTTAAATTTCATAGTAATAACTAGCTAGTACACCAACCCCACATCCATTGTTTAAGTTTATCTTTGTATGCCCACAAAAAGGTTAATCTCTCTGTTTGATCGATGCATATATATATGGACAAGTTAGAAACGTATTGTTGTTGTCTGTAGAAGATATTTTTCATATCCCTCATAAAATTACAAGAAACACATTTGTAAATTGATGTATTCTGCTGCAATTGGCACTTTTAATAAAAACAAAGTTTCATTTCAAATATATATATCAACCTTTCATATATTATATGCATGTCACTTATTTATTGATATATCATATTAATTAATTTGTATAAATATGTTATATACATATATATTGAAATATATATAGAACATTTGGCTGAATTCTCTGCACTTTGTCGGTTTAGTCGCCACCTTTGAAAATATATAGAGAAATTTGGAGAACCACAAGAGTAAATGTAAGATAATGAGTGCACTAAATATCACTTTTGCATGTGACATTGTCTTCTTATCTAGCTTTTGTGCATGGTGGAAAAGGCTAAAGTTGATTGAGATGGGTATGATCCCCATGACCTGAAGGAAGCCGACTACCGTTTATCAGCTGATTGTCGGTTTGTTCTTTCCCTCCTAAGACAATATAAATATCAAACATACCATTGTCGATATGTATCTTTTGTTTTGCTTCATATATATATACTTCCATCCAAAGTTTTGTAAGTTTCTTAAAAAATCTTGTATTGTCGCCTCACCGATTAATAACAACATGAGGACAGTACTCTTTACAGCCCAGGGGAGGTGTGACCTAAGTCGTCTCGATCATATGCTCAACCCTACTCATGACAACATGCATTGACAAAGCTTTCATTTTCTTCCTAATTGTTATAGAATAAATTTTACAGAATTCAGTAAAATTTATATGTGCATTTGTCAATTTTGTATAAGTAATAGAACGTACACATGCAGGACAGAGGTATAATGTTAGATTCATTAAAAATTAGCTCGTAAACATAATTGTTGCCCCTGCACCGTGATATGTCTCACTCGTTCAATGTCTACTTGATTTTGTAAGCAATATTTACTTTGTGCATAAGGTGGATGGTACGTGGCCGGTTGCATGCTTTTGTCAATAATACACATATTTTGTCAATAAGATCCTAGCTTAAGTTCTGCAAATATATATAGGTATATGATGTATTTGTATGAATATATATACATGCATACATATATATTTATGATTAGATGAGTTTTACCTATATACGAAAGAATTAGTTAAGCATAATGCATATATATGAAACGGACAAAGTAATTGATCGACAATGTGGTGGGGTTCAATAATTTATCATGAAAATGACATATTTATTATACTTGGTGGAAATGTAGTCGCTGGATTCAATCTGGAACGGCCACATCCTATATATATATATATATATACACACACACACACGTATAAGATTGAATATATATATATGTATGGTATACATACAAAAGAGCTTTCGTATATACATATAACTTTTCAAAAAAGACAATCACACATGCGGCCGGCAATCACCGCCAAGATGTCTTGATCATGAAACAAACATCTTCGACCTTATTCCAAAGAATCCAAGCGCTATAACTTCCGTTTTCTTGCTCTCTTGGCAACTCCTTGTAGTGGTTTCATATGCGAAGTTTCTGAGAAACTGTTTATTTTTGTTTGGTCTTCAACTCATTTGTGCATATGCGGTGTGCTTCACACATGCATGGAATGTTCAACGAGAAAGATTGTTTGGTCCATGCCCGCGTATTATATTATATTATATATATATATATAACCTCTTTAAGAAACTTATCGAGCATAGTTGACCTCTGTATTTATTTTTGATAATTATATATATATATATATATATATATATATATATATATATATATATAGGCTTACATATTCAACTGTCACTACAGTGTACACGGTACACCTGGTATATAGAAAGTTTTTTTCCCACTGTATTCAAGCAATCATTTCCGGTGATATTGGGGTACATGCTCCAAATTTAAAAAGTTTGAAGCACGCTGTACAGTACATATTTTAAAAGTGGAGCATCTAAGGGTTTTTGTTTTGTTTTGTTTTTTTGTTTTGAGTGCAATGTAACTCTCATTTTCTAAAATACACTACATGTTTAAATATCAATAAAATTTTTATTTTATATTTCCTATACATAGGAATGTATGGACATCATGACTATTTTTCACCAAATTTGAGGCTACATAACATATATATATATATATATGGACTCTTCAAAGACATCATAGCGTACTTTCTCGCATTTCAAAAAAAAAAAAAAAAAAGTGGAGGGTTCAATACCATTAAAAATTGATAATTTAATTCCCTATGAAAGATAATATGATTAACATGGGTATTCTAATTAATCCAAGCTTTTTAGCATATTATTAATTATAGTAATCAAGATAACAAAAAGTAGAAGAGAATATGACTGACATGCATATATATTCTAAGCAAATGGAAGCTTTATAGCATATTATTTTAGTATTGGGGATAAGAAAATTCTTTTGACGCTTAATAAGAAAATTAATAATCTTATATTTGAGAAATTTTTTTATTTACATTTGAACAGTGCATTTAATTTAATCCTGATAGAGAATATTCCACGAAAAAGAGAGAGAGAGAGAGAGAGAGAGAGAAGAATAATGGACAAATTGATCATTATACTTGAGTTACTAAAAAGATATAAAAAAGCAGTGTTATCTTATGCGGAATCATCTTTCTATTTTTTGCCCCTTCCTGTCGGCCTCCATTTTTTACTTTTATTTTCGGAAAAACAAAATAAAATAATTGATGAATTGCAAAAATGAAAAAAAAAAAAAAAATGAAAAAAAAAGAAGTAAAAATGTTTTTTTTTGACAAAACAATTGAAGAGATTTTTCTTTACTTCCTCTTTAGAGGGCAGAGAGAGATGCATGGCTGATAGGAGCTAGGTTATGGCCATGTGATGCTTCATCTTGTATTAATATAGTTTTTATTAAATTAAAGAAAGAAAATTTTAGATCATATGTGCTCTAATTATATGAATTTACTAAAATTTTATGTTAGAAGAATAAGTTTCATTTAGTTATTTCTCTGAAAAAGAAAATGCTATAAATTTAATCTGACTACAACAAACTCCAAAATTTAGAAATTAATTGAATTGAGCAAGGATTAGACATGAAATTCAACCCAAATCATTCTAGGCCCACGATTCACTCCAAACTCAGCCCGTTTTAGACTTCAACTGATTGTGCTCTACTTGATATTCAAAAGTTACTGGGCCTAAACTTGAGTTGTAACAAATTTACCACACCCCATTCGGTAGGAAAAATAATTGTTACATTGAATATGGAACAAGTTGAGAATTTAGATGCAGTGGACCTTTTTTGAATTTGGGCTTGTGCATGCTGAGGTATTAGTCCTTGGCCCAACTTGCCCGAATATCACATTTACTAAGTCGACCATTAAAAGGGGTTAAGTTCAATTTTTTTTTTTAATCAAATTTTGCAATGCGTATGATTTCACATTTTTTAGTGAATATTAGTATATTTTTTCCTAATTTTGTTGAATGTAAATCTTAAACAAGCACAAATCAAAACACTAATTTCAAAACTTTTGTCAAATTAGTGTTTTGATTACATTTTATGATGATAAATAAGACGAGACATACGAACTTAAAAGCAATATGAGATTTTCTTAAGGGGGAAAACTTTTATCACTAAAATTATTTAGATCTGGAATAGGATGCATCAAAATGAAATGTTGTTCAAATATATGGATGGGATAAAAATTGTATGTGTCATCTGTGAGGCAAAAGAAAAATCTGGACCATGTTCTGTAGTAAGGTTGAAAGAAAAATTAAGCCAAACAACTGCACAAAGGATTGATAAATAAATCAATCTTTAATAAGTAATTGAGACCCATGAGGTGTTTACATTCAACCAATGTATTGAGAGATATATTAAATGATTTATTTTATTTTTTACAAATTTTTTTTTTTAAAAAAATTATCTCAATTCATTATTGACATGTCTGCATTTAACCACTAAACTGAAAGATGCATTAAATTATTTATTTGCTTTTTCACAAATCTGAAAAAACAAAAAAAAAATAAAAATCAAAGTGTCTGAATTCAACCAATGGATTAAAAAAAATTATTAAATAATTTATTTGATTTTTCACAAATTACAAAAAAAAAAAAAAAAAAAAAAAAAAAAATTGTCTAAATTTTGGTTGAATGTGAAAAACTTGTCATAAGTAGGGGTGACAATGGGGTAGAGTTGGGGCAAATTTGGCTAAACCCTACTCCACCTCATTAAAAAATCCATCAAACTAATTTCACCCCTACTTCGAAATGGGTTTGTAATTGTTATATAATCCTCGTTCCTATTACGGTAAATAAAGTACCGATTTTGCCCTGCATACTCTGTTTAATTGTGGGATGAGACAATTATGTCATTTTTATTATTGAGTAAAAAAAAAAACTAGTCCAATGTGCTCAAATTAGGTTGATAAATAAGTTAGTCCTGCTTTACATTACTAAGTAGTGAATATATATATATATATATATATATATTAAAGGTAGATATATATTATATACACAGGGGTAGAGCCACTATTTGAATTCAGGGGGCATAGTGAGAATTTATTTATTTATTTTTAAATAAGAATAAGAAAAAGAAAAGGGGAAAGAAAAATAAATTTTGAAAGAAACAAATTAGAGCATGATTAAATAAGGGGAATTTAACCTTTTAAAAAGGTAATTAAAGAAATTTAAAGAGAAAAAGATAAAAAATAGAAAAAGTTTAAAAACATTTTATAAACTAATAATTTTAGGGGACATAATATACAAATTTCTATATACATACATATATATAAAAAAAAAAAAAATTTATTAAAAACCATATATATGTACTTAAGGCGGGGTGAGGCCAACCACAAGCTGACTCCGCCCTTGCGGGTGGGGCGCATTCATTACTAAATTCTCCTTCCCTAACTTGTTTTCAATTTTTAATTATTTTATTGTATTCATTCTAAATTCATTTAAAAACAACCAAATAAAAAACAAGGTGAAAGAATTTGTCATCCCTAATCGGGAGAAAGTGAGCTATTTAAGAGCATTGAACAAATTAAAAAGTTTTAGACATAATGAATCAATTCAAATATCGTTTTTATTTTTGTTGTGTGTTTCACAAAAAAAAAAACAAACCCACCTTTAGTATGGATTTCAACGGTATATCCTCACCGTGGAAGCGTAAGGATTCAAATGTCAATGACTCGATGGGCATGTGCGTAAGAGAGTGAAAAAAAAGAGGGTAAGTGATAAAGATTGAAAAAAAAAAGAGAGAGAAAGATAAAGATTGGATTTTTTGGTTGACCATAGAATAGATATACTACCCAGCCGAAAATCGTTGAGGAAAAAGATCGGAATTTTTGGTTGACCATACTATAGATATACTACCCATTAAGCCGAAAATCGTTGAGGAAAATACAGTCGAGAGAGAAAGACATGTCGTGCTTGTGTTCTTGCTGTGCTTCCTTGACCTGCGGTCTCTGCTCATCGGTGGCGTCTGGGATCTCCAAACGCTCAGCTAGACTCGCTTATTGCGGCCTCTTTGGCATCTCTTTGATCGTTTCATGGATTCTCAGAGAAGTTGCAGCTCCTCTCTTGGAGAAATGCTCATGTATGTCTCCAATCCCCTTTCATTTTCGTCACATGTTCTCAATTGGGTTTATGGTGTTTGCATATATATTATATATATAGTTGCATGCATGATTGGCCTTGTACTGTACTCAACTGGGTTATTGGATATTAGATTGGTGTTTTGATGATTTGGGGCTTCTTTTCAACTCTCATATGGTCATTTCTTGTGCTTTGTTATTCCTATATTAAATTATCTACCAATTATGCATTTCTGTATCCTTGTTTGTACTTTGAATTAGAATTTATCAGTTTTATTGTTTTTCCCGGAAGTTAGAGCAAAACGCACACTCACAACATGCCCACTACCAGGGCTCGAATACTCAACCTTCCCCCTGGGAGGAGAGATCATACTAACCAGACACTCACGGCATGCCCCTAGCTACTGTTTTATGTCCCATTGGGATTGTTGATGTATGAATCTGCCAAATTTCCTTTACTTCATTCATTTAGATTGAGAAGCCCTCCTCTTCTGTGAAAGTTACAAGGGATAAAAGCATTCATCAGCAGTCTTCACCAATATTAGGGAATTATAGATCTTATGGACATCCCACCGAAGGCCAACCAACACAGTAGTCAATTTTTCTTATTCTCTAAACAGAATGGAGTATTTTATTTATGACATTTGTGCAATGTCAGCGACCTTTTAATGAGCTTTTTCAAACCTTCATCCTTGAATTGAAATTGTCAGAGCTTTGTTTGATTGGCATTCTATTAATAAAGGATTTGCATGGTGGGTGCTACTCCAATTCTTTTAAAAAGAGAACAAGATTGCTAAATTCTGAGAAAACTAATAATAATTCCATGTTTTAGAATCCAAATGTTTGATGGCATCATATGAGAAAAGGGCAGTCCGATTACATGAGGCACCCGCTACTGTGGGGTCTAGGGAGTGTCAGATGTACGTAGCATTACCTCACTATATGAGAGGTTGTTTCTTGTTTCAAACCCGTCACCTTAAGGTCACAATGGAGCAACCATACTGTTGCCCTAGGGCTCGCCCTTATTTGATGGCTCATATTATTTGGTCAAAAAAAACCTTTTCTCAAGGATTAGTACCTTGAATTTTCACAGTAGGTTTTCATTGATGCATACAGATAATGGAATTATTGATGTATGAATAAATTATTCCATTCACTTGCTATTAAAGAATTGGTAGATGAAATATTTTCTTTGATTAAAAACTTATCCTGGGCATGACATTTGAGTTTTCCATTGCTATGTAACAATATTTAAAATGTGGGAGGAATCCATTAATTATTTATTTCATTATTTCTGTGTAAGTAATATACGGAGTATTAATTATCTTATTTTTAAGACCAATTGTATTAATTGTGTACAACCCCTGCCTCCCTCCAAAATTTCACTAACAGAGAAAAATACTGTTTCTCATAATAATTGAAGTATGACCAGGTTGACTTGGATCCAAAATCACTCAATGAGTCTAAGCATTGACATTGAATTTTACTAAAGCTTCTTTGTATGGTAGTCCACTCCATTTCATGTCCTGGATTTATTAAGACTACTAGCTCACTGAGAGGAACTTCTTTTTATTTGCTTTACAGGGATCAACACTTCTGATTCTTACTCAAAAGAATGGTATCAAATACAAGCAGTTCTTCGTGTCAGCTTAGGGAATTTCTTGTTTTTCGCAATATTTGCCCTTATAATGATTGGAGTAAAGGATCAGAATGACAGACGTGATTCCTGGCACCATGGTGGATGGACTGCTAAGATTGTGATTTGGGCTTTGCTTGTAATCCTCATGTTTTTCCTCCCGAATATTGTCTTGACAATTTATGGTCAGCTTTTAGCCCTCATCATTAGAATTTCATTTTGAAGTATTTATTTTCTTCTGCGTTTTTTTTCCTATTATCAAGCTCAATGGATGGAGCATTTTGACACATTTCAGCTTCTGTGTTTCCTTTTCACCATGCATTATGGATTAATGAACTGGGGAAATGAGCATTGATTTTGTGAGTGTCAGTATTTGCATGGGAGAAACTCATTTCGACAACAAAATAACCTCTCTTGTTGACCTGTGTAACTTGCACCATTATCCAGTTTCCACTCTAGGAATTCCTCATATGTCAAACCTGATTTAAGGACTACCAGTGCAATTTGTCCTCGTTCTCATACATGTCACAACAAAAGTGGTTCATGGTGATCCATTGGGAAACCCATCAATATGTCTTTATATATTGCGTTGTCTGTTGTTTCAGAAAATCAACAAGAAAAATGTCATTGGCGGTATCCACCAAATGACTGGTTCCGTGCCATACGTTTGAGCAGTTAGCACACTACTTTGCCTTTGGACATTCATTTTTATCGGCCTGATATTTCCTGTAATTTGATAATTTAGTACTCAAAATCTGGTTTTATTTTTACAAACTAGTCAGGATTTGATTGTTGCAAACCTACCATAATTGCAGGGATTTTATCAAAATTTGGGGCAGGATTATTTTTATTGGTTCAAGTGATTATACTACTCGATGCCACACACTCATGGAACGATGCTTGGGTCGCGAAAGATGAACAGAAATGGTTGGTTTGAGTTGCTATACCTTATCATTTACATTGTCCTGAGTTTTTTTTTTTTTTACCTGACTTTTTCAAGGGTTTTTCCAGGTATGTTGCTTTACTTGGTGTATCAGTGATCTGCTACCTTGCAGCATTTACAATTTCGGGACTTCTATTTATTTGGTTCAATCCTTCTGGTCAAGATTGTGGTCTCAATGTCTTCTTCATTGTCATGACCATGATCCTTGCATTTGCATTTGCTGTTATTGCATTGCATCCAAAGGTGAGGAGCATCTTTTTTTATTGACATCCAATTGCTTTGACATTTTTGTAATATTGTTCTCTCTTTTGATTTTTATTTTCTTTAGTTCCTGCATGTTATGTAGATTTTCACTGTCCCACTCTAACTCTATTACTGTTCAAATGTATCAACTGTTGTTGCTTAAGAATTAAAATGATTAAAATACCTTCCAAAAAAAAAAAATTTGATTAAAAAACTCTTAAGTAGCCTTTTTCCCTCAGCAGTGATGAGGATCTATGGTGATATTGGCTGCATATAGATCACATAACAATGTTCCAATGTGGAACCTACTCTATAACTTCTAACCACGCTATTTGTTTGAGGGTGAATTTTCATTTCCAACTAAAGTAGATACAAAAAAAAAAAAAAATCCAACTAAAGTAGATTAAATTACACCAAGGGGATATGGGATGACAATTGTGGGTACATGGCCCATTCCCTTGGACATGTACCGGAATAGGAAATAAGGAAGTCTTCAGGAACTCCGCTGTAGTCAATATACCAACGAAGAGATCCATCAAAAAAATTGGAAGTCTTCAGGAACACCCTCGACTTTATAAACCCTTGTTTTTAACCACTCTGATCTTTTTAGAAGGTTGCAAGCCTCAAGAAGTTTGCAAAGGATTACTCAAGCTCCATGGGGGGCCCCAGCTGTTGATCAGGCAACTATTTTCTGTTGGGCTTCCTTTCTACGGACAAGCCTCTGTATGGCCTTTGTCTCTAAATCTGAAGGCCTTAATGGACCTCCTCTTTATAGATAAGTCTGGAGGAAGACATGAAGACCTTTGAGGACCTTCAAAGATCAACTTAAATTGGTTGTAGGACTAAGGAGATCCAAGGAAGTCTTTTGGGATACTAGAGACAATTGGCTTGGTAGCTGAAGTTTAGGGCTAGTCCAGGAAACCCCCTACAGGAATTATCAAGACCGATTCCTGGCTGGAAGAAAAGAAAGAAAGTAATAGTTCCACACACACTCGTTCCACACAAGTTCTGAGATGGGTCAACCCATCCTTCCTCTATTCACTGTCTCATCTTATTAAATGTGACAGAGTGGAAGCTATGAATGTTCACAAATGAACGATAAATAACTTTGAATCCAAGTTAAAAGAGATTTGCAGAGATCTTACATATTATTGATAATCGAATTGGTGATTCTGCAGACCAATTCTGCTCTCTGTAGTATATGTATTTATAATGAAAAGAAAACCCTACATTTTAAGAAAACTTACAGCATCAAGAAAGCTTATAAGGAAACCTAATATGAAAAGGAAACTAACACTCAAAATAAGCATAAAAATCAACTTATTCCAAAAAATTACGAAAAAAATAGAATAAGAAACTTAATCACTAAAAACTATTGAATATAAAAATTCGGAACAATCCGACTTCGTTTAGGCCACAAACAAAAATCCCGAAATATTCCAGTCTTCCTATAGGAGTAAAAACATGATTTTGGGGCCCAAAACTATTGAATTTGGCCGAAAACCAGCATGATCCACTAGCTTTTTTTTGGGTCATTCCACTCAAAAGCGTGTCCTTTTGGGTCAATAATGGACTCGTTGAAAATTCTGTCCTATATCAAAATGTCATACCTATGATGTCAATGTCATGCCCCACCTCATTTCATGTGGAGCTGCCTTCATTGACTATCCACTTAATCTAGACAATCATAACTCAAACATCCTCTTCGTGATCCCTAAGTACCATTGTAATTCTTCCCAAAGTTGCCACTTCAAACCTACGTTCCTCCTCCTTATGCCTATCCCTCTTGAGGAACCGTCGTACACTCTAACTTCCACCATCTTGTTCTCCTTTGTGCCAGTCTAGGCTTCCTCCTGGGGCTCACCTCGGATCTTTGTTGTATCAGAGTAATTAGAAATTTGATTGAAAAGGACAGCCAAAAAGTCAACCTTTTTGGGAAGTTAAATTATTAGGACGTATTATTTTTTTAACTTTAAGTAATTAAAGGTTATTGGCTTCCAGACATCACAGGAATTAAATATTTACCTTGACAAATGGAAAGCATGGCATTGTACTATTTTCTCGTGGAAAGTATAGTTGCTAGAAGATGGATTGTTTTGAACTATTGTACACTATGTAAGCTGCAAGCCTCATTACTTCATGGGCCTATTTTCATCGAAAATTAAATATGTGCAATTGTACATTGCATTTCCTATTTTTGAGGGATTTAGTGAATGACTGGAATTTGGTGTTGGAAAGCTAATGGCCACACTCTTTCAAGATTTCTATTCTAATGGTATTCTGGATGATTTGGAAGGCAAGAAAGTTAAGGAATTTAAGACTTTGGGGTTGGGCAAGGATTGTGTCAATACTCGCATTACTCGGGTTAGGTAGATTCTATTTCTTAAGGGTTGTGTTTTACATTTCAAGGTTTTGATTGTGTAGTGATCAAAGTAAATGCCATTGCTGTAAATGAACGGCATCAACAAATTTAAATACTTTCAGAAGTTTGTGATCACCTTCATGGTACTTCTGAAGAGCTATTTTTACTGGCTAATTAATTCACACAGGGTCTTTTGGTTAATTCACGCGATGTTTTATTACATTGTTTATTACTTTTTTGCTGAAGGGCTTAGCTCCTTTCTTGTATGAGTCTTTTTGGTTTCTCACAACACCAGTCTCATTTATGTCACACTATGGTTGATGGTTCTAATAACTGAAAACACCCGTAATAAAAAATACAATGTGCCTTGTAATACGGTGCAAATTGATAAATATTTTGCAAACTTACGAGGCTCGTTAAAGTGAGCCACACACGTGTCGACTTCTGAGGTGTGGAAATTGATTATAATTTACTAGTGGCTGTCATTTGTGATTATAAACAGGTGAATGGAAGTCTGTTGCCCGCTTCTGTGATTTCCGTTTATTGTGCTTACGTTTGTTTTACTGGTCTATCCTCCGAACCTCGAGATTATGTCTGCAATGGTCTCAATAATACCCGTGCAGTCTCCACAAGTACCCTTATTCTGGGGATGCTCACAACAGTTCTTTCAGTTCTTTACTCTGCCCTTCGAGCCGGATCATCAACAACATTTCTATCCCCACCATCTTCTCCCAAGTCAGGTACTAAAAACTCTGCAAACCCTTCCTGGATCTTTATGGTTTCTGTTGTTTAAATGGCTTGAAAATTCTTCAAAATTAAACTATATACTTGCAAAAGTAGCTATTTTAATATATATATATATATATAATTTTTTATTTTTTATTTTTTATTTTATAAGTCTAGCTATTTTAATATCCCTGGTGTTCAAAAAGCTTATAGTCGAAAAATGCTTAGCTTTGCCCTAGCATAAGAGGAGATATCGGGCACACCTGGTTATATAGTAAAGTTTGCACTCGAAGAGCGATTTTGGCGAGAAAATGTTTTGCTTGGGCATCAATTTTTGGATAGCATGCCTGAGTTGGTTATGCTCGCAACAACATTTTACTTGGACAATGATTTCCATGAAATCAGCGGTCATTGGATATCAAACCAGTTTTTGGGCTCAATAAGTTTGAACATATACAAAGGTTCTATCTAGAACCAACTCCCACTAGATGGATATTTTTTTGTTTCCCAGACAACTCCAAGTTCATTTTTTCGCCCCCTTCAAAATAACGAAGTAATACCGTTCTACAATAACTAGAGATTTCTTCTGCATATTCAGACCGTTTAGCTGGAAAATTATTTGAGAGATAAGGCTTGTTGTTTGAAACCATCTAGCTGGTAATTATGAGAATTATGATGTTTGTTATTTGAATTGGTTATTACTAAGTTCTAATTAATGTTTCTGAACATGTAGTCAAAAACTTGCTTTACAGGTGAAAAGAAACCCCTTCTTGATTCTGAAAAACTGGAAGAAGGGAAAGAAAAGAAGGAAACAGAAGCACGGCCAGTTAGTTACTCCTATACATTCTTCCATCTGATATTTGCTCTGGCTAGCATGTATTCGGCCATGCTTCTTTCTGGGTGGACCAGCACTTCTGAGAGCTCCGACCTGATTGATGTTGGCTGGACATCAGTTTGGGTTCGGATCTGTACCGAGTGGGTCACTGCTGTTCTGTATGTCTGGTCTCTTGTGGCTCCTTTGCTGTTCCCTGACCGCGAGTTCTTTTAGATCTTCTTTTCATGTTGGATTTAGGGCTCCTTTACCTATCAATGTTAATCTTTCACTAAAGGTGTATGATGTGATCAAATCCGGTTTATGTAATGTCTACTGGTGGTTGTGATGTGCATATAAAAACTAGTACTCTGTATAACATGATTTTTTTTTCACAAGGAAGTGCTCTGATGACTGATGCTTATGTGTTATCCTTTGAATGTTTTAATGGTTGAAAATTTTAACCATTTGAATTTGTCCATTCCCATATGAGAATTAATTGTCCTGCTTGTGTGTAAAAGCTTGACTGATGGTTAATGTGGCTTAGAATTTGGAAGTTTTGTAATCTTTGGATCAATTGCCAAGTTATATGGATAAAAAATTTAATGTAACAATCTATGGGCTGGAAGATTGAAAGTAGGGATGATATTTTTTTTTTTTTTTTTTTTGAGGAGCTAATAGATTTGAACTCTTCCAATGCGTAAGTCCAAGTATGACATAAGATTTGGCAATACAGAAGTTTCGGTTTGAATTTTATTTAATACTCCCTTTGCATTGCCATGGACTAGAGAATCTGCCAAGCGTGTGATTGAATTCAGGAACTTTGGCAATGACTTGCATGATGGTTCTTTCTTCGTGTACTTTAGGAGGGAATTTTCTCTCTCACACACACACACACACACACACACACTCTCTCACTATTATGCACGTACAAGTCTGTTTATAAGTTAGGTAGGATAAGCACAAGAACTTCGGTGGATATGTACAAATTGTTGTTGGTGGTGGACTGGTGGTGTTGGTTTTTTATTTTATTTTTTATCATGTTTCATTCAAATATATTTTTATTATAAATAAATAAAAATTGAATCCCTTGGCACAAAAAATTGCAAACTCAATATGCTAGTTATTCGGGAAAAAAATGCTAGTTATTCCACCAATTTCTTCAATGCCTAATTATCCAAAATTTCATCTAATACCAAGCCGAGAGAGGAAATAAAAAATAAAAAATAAAAAAAAAAAGGAAAGAAAAGATTTTAAGTCATTAAATCCTCATTTTAACTATTACTGTAAATAATACATACCAAATAATTAGATGATTTTGTTCACTCTTGTACGAAATTAAATTCTTACTGCAAGTTTGCAACTATCAAAACAGTACAAACCAAACTGTGAGATTTTGTAGCATGAATATATAAAGTAACAACCATAAAACATCCTTTAAATTCTGGTGATGTGGACAAAAGCTACTCTGTGTGAATTTATTGCCAACTTAAAGTAAATAAAAATAATAAAAACATAAAATAAAAAAGGCTTCGTACTTGCTACGAGTTTGGATTGTTCATCATAAAATTCTCAATTCTTCAAAAACATGGTTGAATCTTAACATGCGCATCCCGGTGCTAAAATGCCCCTATCTCTTCCTCCCCCGAAAGACACATAACACCTGAACAACACCCCAGCACCTCATTTTCCCTCAAAAAAAAAAAAACACCCACTAACATGCGCCATCACCTCCTCCCCTCCATCATCATGGCCCCTTCTTCACCCTCTCTCTACAAACCCAACAACCACAAGAAACCCTCCCCTTCAAACCCTAACCCTAGCACCACCCACTGTTCCTCCTCCTCCTCCTCCTCCTCCCTCCTATGCAAACACTCCCCTTCGGCCACCCTTGACATTCTCATCCTCATACTCGTCCTCATCTCTGGAACCTTCCTCATCACCTCCTACTTCTCCTACATCTTCCAGTCTCTCTCTCTCATCCTCCCTTCTCTCGAATTTTCTCACTCTATAACCCTCCCCGACTCCCCGACCTTCTACCTTTTAGGGTTTGTGTGCTTCTTCCTTGTCTCGGTCCTCGCCGTCCAGATCTGCTGCGGCTTCAGATCTAGAAAGTGTGAGAATCCGCGGTGTAAGGGATTGAAGAAGGCGATGGAGTTTGATTTGCAGCTGCAGACGGAGGAGTGCTTGAGATCACCCACCGCAGCCGTGAAGGAGATCGATGAGCTGCCGTGGAAGGGAGGGACTGAGGGGAACCCCGATTACGAGTGCCTCAGGGCGGAGTTGAGAAAGATGGCGCCGCCCAATGGCAGGGCGGTGCTGCTGTTTAGGTCAAAGTGTGGATGCCCTGTAGCCAAGCTCGAAGGCTGGGGGGCAAAACGAGGGCGTCGGCACAAAAAGTGAGTGCAATGATTTCTATTGAATGCATTGCAATTTCTGTCAAATTTAGTGCATATTGACAAGATTGATTCCACTGAATTGACTGCATTTGTGGCATCTTTATGGTGAAATTCTTATATATTTGATTTGATTTCTATATTATGCATTTGAATGCTTAAACTGATAATAAATGGAACTGCTTTTTACTCCGGAACATGTTTTGCTTTACTAATTAACCTGTATTTGGTTTTGGGTTTATTTGTAATTGTACTAATATAAATAATTTTACTTTTTGGTACTTCAGGGGTTTCCGATTAGTGTGGGGTATGTAGAAATTTGAATGAAATGCAACCCCACTTGGTTATCTATAATTTACTAGTTTTCAGTGATTGGTTGTTGAAATGGTGGATCTTCGAATTGAATCATTAGGTTGTAGGAGTCTCCTGTAGTGCTTAATGGTTTTTGGGTCTGACATATTTGGCCTTGACATTTTATGTTTAGTCCAACAAATTTTTAAATCAAATCTTAATAATATAGGTTCACCAAGAGACCTTTTATAGCCACTTTACCAATGTCTCGCAAGTCACAACTAGGCAATGACCTTTTGTACTTTTCTAGATATTTGAGTTGAACCTCTACCTAAAACTTAGCCAAAAGCGGGTGGATTTCAGGTCCGGTATTATGATCCAAGTCCTTAGCACGATAATGCATGTTTTTCATCCCTAGTGTTATGTTATCTCATTTTAAAAAAAAAAAAAAAAATGATCATTGATGATAAAATAACTGACTGATTATTTTTTCTTTTTTTTTTTTGTTTGGTGGGGGGTGATCGATTTCAGCAATTTGACGTATACCGCTACTATAGATTATGGTAGCATCAATTATCTTGCTTAGAGCTTTACTATCTATGAATTGGATTTCATCTCTATTGGTATATCAATCTTTAGAACAGCAATGTTAGTAAGCTTGAATAATGGCCCTTGAATCTCATTTAGGTAAACTTATAAAGAAAGATATGGAAAATTTTCAGTGATAGTTAGGCCCCAATATTAAGATATAGAGCTGTTAAGGAAGAAGTAGACTAGATTAGGACACTATTCTATGTACATGGATACAAACATGACACTTCGCATGCATAGTATGAATTCTTAAAAAATAATTAGGGGCATGAGAAGGACATGATCATAAATATTATATTGATAGATATATGCTCAATTATATATGTTTATATTTATATATATGTGTATATGTAATTACAATTGTGTGATGAACATGTGTGTTCATAAATAATTATGATGACTCATTTCCATCAAACTCCTTTGGTATTTCCATTAGTCATGACCTTTTTAAAAAATGGTCAAGAACTAACAGGTTTCAGGTAAACATATAATTTTGTCTCTCTTTATAAGAAATGTGGACCAAGTGTTTGAAATCATGAACTCTTTTTTTTCTGTAGACTTCCATGATATGCTGGACCTGTTTGAAAAAGTGTTTTAGGAGGATCAATTACGGCAAGGAATAACTCCTTAGAAGTGTGTGCTTCATAGGACTAATTTTGGATGCATGTCGGGAGCTATATATGTGGGTGTTGTTTGTAAGTGTGGAGAGATGTTATGCATCATTTAAGTTATCTAGAAGTAGCATGATAGGTGGATCTTCCAGAATTCTTGGTACAATCATCTGAAGTTCAAGAAAAAAACAAATTCAAATAAAAGAAAATCTTCAGTATTGGCTCAATTACAAGTCAGGATTTAGTTGGGACTTTAATCAAGCTTTAGTTTAAGTATGCTTTCTTTATTTGGTTTTCTAGTGGTTTAATTTTACTAATGTTTTGGCAAGGGTATTTGGTTAATTCTTAGTTTTACTGGATATGGGCTATAGTAGGGTTCATGGGTCCTATTTGTGTGGATTTATATTATTGGGTCTCAGTTGGTCAAGTATTTTTTACAAGTCAACAATCTTTAGTTTCTAGTTTCAAGTCTGCTTCCTGGTAGGTGTACAAAGAGTTCTACATCCAATATATCTACATATTTTTTCAATTTAATGAAGATCAATTGAGAGAATTTTCAAGAGCTTTTGAAACTTTTTGGGATTGTGTAATGCAAATATTGTCCTAAATCAATTCGGCCTTCAATTTTACACCTAAGCACCATGAATAGCTGCAATCCGGAATTTCCAACAACCTAAACTTTTAAATAATTGTGACCGTTTACCCTCCATGTTTCATCTAACTTCAGCCCCATTATATTCCTAAAGCCTATTAGGGGTGCTACTTGGCGGGCCATCCCAAACCTAACTCAAGCATAATCCAATCTTTGAATGGGCTTGGACAGCTCTTATTGTTGCTTGGGTTGAGGTTGGTTGAAAATTTTCAACCTGATCTCAATTTGGGTTGGACTCGGGCAGAGGTGTCGGGCAACCAAGTCCAGCATGAGCCCAACCTGTTATATGTTGTTTACAATGGATTAACGTAAAGAAACGGCAAATCAACTTGATGATGATGACAGATTTTATCTGATGTGTCTGAGACTTGGGAGTTTGAGGATATGCATTTTTGTTATGAGGTGTATCTTCGCAATACCTACACAAGAGGAGGATTGGAAGCGTTGTTCAAAATTTTAATGTCTGGTTCTTTGTTGGAATAGCTAATTATTGACAGGTGCAACAACATGAATTTGATGTTTGAACTTGAAACCTACTGTGGTCAACCGCCTATGAATACTGCCCAACAAATAATATTGCAACTATGTAAAGTATTGCAGATCAATAGTTCATCTATACTGGCAACAAAATTGCTTGTGGTCATGATAGTGATATTATATGGTATTATGTTATTCTCACGAACTCATATTGAAAGTTTACTTTGTTGTCCTTGGTTATATGATCTTGATGTGGGTCATTGTGTGAGAAGAAACGCATACAGTTTCATGTTTAATTAAAAAGTTTGAAAAATCGAAACCTAGAAATAAAAGATCTTTAAGGTCGTGCAGCAGTTTTGCTCTTGCCATGGAGCATTCCTAGTCACGCGGATTGAGTTAAAGGCAGTCAGAATGGAATTTGGAAACAAACTGACTAGCCGGAACTATTTTGAAGAGTTGCGTTGTACCTTTCTTATATTGAAGTTCTAGCGTGCGCTGCTTTAGCTTCGTTGATTGCAGCTAGCGCGCTTTACTAATAAAGCAATGGGGCACCTAGGTTGAGTGATATTAAAAATACTGTTTGTTGATCAAGAAATGCTGAGAGAAAGGTGTGCACTTTCCCGACCACAAGGAAAGGTTTATTGAACAGTATAAGTAAATTGCTAAGAGAAAAGGTGGTTCAAGGAGCTAACCAATTTCCTTGAAAAACAGTATCTGCAACCAACTTAGACCCTTATTCATGTACATTTAACATGAAACAACCAAAATGTATACAAAAATGATGCATAACCAGATTCTAAAGATGAACCAGCTCAAGATAATGAGCCAAAATCACCATAGATTGATTCGCTTAATTTCCAAGTAAAGACCAAGCATTGAATCACAAGAGAAGCCTTGTGATAAGAGATGAGATCAAGAAGTCAGGGACATACTACGTGTTTTTCAGTGTTCAGGGTGCATTGGGTGTTACCAGCCCCTATGATGGATGTGTTTGAGTCTTGGAGAGGATGTACAGTGGGGTGGAGGGCTCGAGATGCATGGAGGGTATGCCCTCTTTGCATTTGGTGGGACTTATGGAGAGAAAGATATAGGCGGTCTTTTGATGGCGTGGAAGCACTGGTGTCGGTGCTGAAGCACTACATTCTAAGTTCCTTATTTTTTTGGATTATTGGGAAGGGTTGTATATATGTAGAGGATTTTGTTGATTTTTTGGATAGCTTAGGGTATAGAGATGTATTCTTTAATGCAATTGCATTTTTTGGGAGATCTCCTCTCTTGAGCGCCTTTTAATGAAATTTTACTTATCAAAAAAAGAAAAAAGAAAAAAGAAAGATGAGGTCAAGGAGACTGAATCAAAGATTGATATTACTAAGTGAGAACATTCAGAAGGGGCTTTAAGAAAACAATACGGATTTAAAGAAGGTACATGTAGCTATGGCTTTGCTCTGAGCCTATTTTCTCTTTCATTCAAGTGTTTTTGAAGCTTCTGCTTTAGTGCAATACATAATGAGTGAAGCTAATTTTGTTTGGTTAATCCAATCAGTTCATCGGTGGTCAGCAACTGTGATGGTTCCAATGATGATCCTGCATGTAGTTTGTGTGCTTCTCATCAGTGGATTTAGAAAACCTTGCAAATTTACTCGGGTTAAAGGTGGTTCTGGCTGTATTCAAGTGAACCTTTTGGCATAGCTGGTTTTTTCTTACACTAGGACCAAATTGTTTATTGGGCATTAAAAATTATAACAGGTGTACAAGAAGCTTTTCCTATGATGGGTCCTTCCTCTCGTGTCAAGATATGTGTCCGATTTTTTATATAAATTTTAGTTGGTCTAAATGGGTTTTACAAGTCAAAGTTTTGTCTATAATTTTCAAGTCAAAGTCCCACTTCTCATTGGTAGAGTCCAGCAGCTTATATATATACTTGTGTTCTTTTAATTTAATGGAGATGAGGGAAATTTCAAATGCTGTTATAGCACACTCTGATTGTGCAATGAAACTCTTATCCTAAGTGTAATGCCTATGGGAATCTAGGTGTGATCTCTAGCCTTTTGTTGTTCTTCTCTTCAATTTGTACACTTTTTTCCAACCTATGAAAGCCATAATCAAATTTTGTCTTCTTTTATAAGCATAACCTTTCCACCTTTCAAATGTTCAATCATCTCGCTTAGAAAAAACATAATTGATCAGTTTACTCTGATGGTCTTTTGTCCCCCCCGTCAATCTGAAATGTTTTCTACACTTCTGATGAAAGATTATCTGAACTTCACTGTTGTTTGTTTTAACTTTAATATAATGTGTGGTCAATTTTAAGTCCTGAAGGGAATTAGTCAAATTTAAGTGTACCATATAACTTCCTGGACATGCCAAAGATAACTTAATACCAGACCTGCTAAAAGTCGCATATGACTGCAGTGGTTCTATTTTGCTCCAACATTTATGCATAGCCATTCAGTTGAACATCAATGAGTGGTGTTAAGCATTGATTTCAGCAGTAAGAATAAGTGCCTAGGCTAGCCAACTTATTAAGGCAGACTGGGCTTTTTTTTTTGTTAAACTGGCTGACATTACATTACAGATTTTTCCTTAGGGGGTGAATATTCTTCTAAAGAAGAAGAAGACGAAAAGGCCAGAGCTTTGTCTATCTACCCCCTTGCCTTGGGTCCCAAACATGGGATAACAGTCTTTTCTTTCTGTTCCAGGCGTGATTGCTTGTTTTTTTCTGTGATATCTAAGTACGACTATTAAAGGGAAGTGTGTTTAATATAAATGTCCTCTCCTTCGTCTGACTTTCATTATAGCCTATAGCTTGCTCCTTTTAGTTTAGGATTGACCATGCCCCTCCTTCTATTATTACCCCTCTATTCTTTTATAGACTCGAGCCAACCAGCTGTAAATGGGGTCCTATCGCCTAAGTTTGAAGAGGCCTTCCATTTTCACTGATATGCTCTTTTACAATACTGACACATTTTTTCTATTGATGAGCAATTTTGATTTATCACATTCATCTTGTTTTGTTTGGATGATTATAACTTTTCATGTGTGCTGTTACTGCAGGAGTCTGGCTCTTAATGGAGGTGGAGATCATCGCTGATTCTTGACGACGCTTCCATCGTTGGGTTCGCATATTTTTTAAGTTTATCTTTTTACCATCTTGTTTACCTTCCAGATGTTGGATGTTCTTTCTAAAGAACTTACTTTTGATTCGAACAATTCTTTTTAATCCTAAAAGCCAGCATTAGTCAGACTTTTCTACAAGAACCATCCATATTCCACATTACTGTGGATGCTTATCTGTCTCCCCATTCTGGAAGAACATACGAAACAAAATGCAAATAAATATATGAATCAGCAATTTGATATGTCATAATTTTAGCTTTGGTATTTGGATACTTTATTCACTTAAACTGAAGGGGTGGCGCTTGTTTTCGAACTGTTAGTGGTGCTGTGAGTACTGCTACTGCTACTTTACCAGTGTCTTACCCTTGGATCGGGCAAAAGATTTGAATGATGGTTGACAATTTATATTCTGGTTTAAAGGGGATTTGCTGTGCTTTCTTTAAAGGTAGAAAATCTATGCAATTTAGGCTTCTAAAAGTTGCAAAAAATGCTGACTGAACTTGGCTTGAGACAGCATATGGAATTGCTTCAGAATTTCTGAGTTTTCTGCGCGAGGAACGAACAACGGAGTTGAAAGCGTTGGAACGATTAATTGTTGTTAGGCTAAACTGTTTAGCTGCGTGAATATTATTATGATTCTTTATCACATTTGAATTATTTTATGATTGTGGTTCTTTGTACCCTCCGAACAAGGCTTGGGACAACATTTGGAGGTTTGGAAATTTTCTTAGGTTTCTGCACATGATTGCAACAATTAGTTGGTGTTACTGTGTTAGGCTGTTTGGCCACATGAATATTCTTATGTTTCACCGCCATCTTAAAATTATTTTTTGGGGACTGTAAGTCATGGTTCATCTGTGTACCTTTAATGGAATCATGCTATATTTTTTTTCTGATATGGTCATAATATTAGTACAAATCTTGGCGTCTCACCGTCTTGAACTAGCAGGATTAGAGAGAGTTCTCAAACCCCTCCGAATTGGGGCTCAAACGATCAATAATGATATATATATATATATATATATATATATATATATATATATATATATATTTTCAATTTCACAATTTGTTGAAAATTAATATAATTTTCTAATTGAAGAACACCATTGATGCCAGTGAAATCCATCAATTATTCCGTGACCTAGGTCTCATAATTTAGTAATGGTGATTTAAATATGTGATGTAGTGATTTTTTTTTTTTTTTTTTTTATTCCTCTTAAAAATTAAAATTAAAGATGAAAAGATTCAAATGAACTCAACAGTCAAAACTAACCAACTACAAGCATACCAGGAAGGTGATGGTGTCACTATTTTTTTTTTGGATAATACAGTTTGTCCAATTGGGTACGTGGCATAATAGAATGCCGATACATGTTTATAATAATATAAAATTAAATTGGGCATTGCCCATATATTTTCGGGTAAAACCCATTTATGCGAGATTCTATCATATCTCTCTCTACAAACATCTTCCTCAATCTCCTTCACCACGTCGTCCCAATTCCTCATCAACCCATTCCAGTCCTCCACCTTGACGGCTGAGATCCTCTTCACAAGTGTGCGGACTATGTAGGAGCGGTAGGCGGACGGCATCTTCACAGCGTCGGAGAGAATGGAGGATTTGTAGCCCGTGGATTGGATAGAAGCAATTTGTGAAGGGTTTGGATTTGAGCTTGTATTGCAATCATCGGAGAAGAAGAGGCGCGTGTGCGCGTGTACAAAGCGTTAGATCTACTCCCGTGAGCGCGTGACAGCGAGTGGTCGTAGAAGTTCATTCCGGCGGTGGTAGTCTGTGCTCGAAGTTCAGTCCGACGGAGATGGTGGCGATGGTGGCCTGCGAATACGTCTCTCTCTCGATTAGGGACTGCTATTTGGGTATGTAATGGCTGTTGTGTTTGGGATTGATGGTTGTGTTTGGTGGGTGAGCGGTGGTGAGATTGATGGGTAATCGCTGCAGATTTTAGGAGAGAGAGCAAAGGGAGCGATCTTCTGAAAGCAAAACAAAAAAAATAAAGTGTTCTATCGGGTCAAACCCATTTAAGTTGGGTATCGAACTTAAGTTCAACAGTGCTTATGAATACTTGTCATGTCCTGATTGGGCCACGTACTCACGTTGCATAAACTTCATCCAACCGGGGTTGGATGCAAGTATTGTTCCTATTTTTTTTTTTTTTTGATAATTTAGGAAAAAAAATTATATTCAAGTACAAGCCTTTTCTGCTGTTTTTTTTTTTTAACAATAATCTTCAAAAAAAAGAAAAATTATAACGTAAACAAAGTCTCAAGTCATCTTTTATTTATTTTATTTTATTTATTTTTTTAAAGAAAAAATTGAAACAAAGAATCTTTTATGAAAATGATAGGAATAAGAGAAATCATTTTATGTTTTCACAGACCAGTGCCACTTGTCCTCTTAATATGCATATATGTTCCAGATCCAGAGTCTATAGATATACATCACTCCGCTCTCTCTCGTTGCTTCCATTGTTCTGAAAGATCCTAGGAATGTCAGGACCTCAGTGTTGTGAGAACCCACCAACCCTGAGCTCAAGCTGTGGATCAGGACATGTAGATGAACTTGGAGGCATCAAGTCCTACGTTACTGGCTCCCCTGACTCCAAACTTGCTATCCTTCTCGTCTCTGATGTTTATGGTACTTAGCCCTACTTTCTTTTCTTCTTTTTTCCCCCAAAATTTATGACTTGGGTATTTCTTTATCTGGTGTGTCATTTGGGTCATCTTGATTAATCTGATGGGTACTTTATCTTGGATCATGAAATTGTGCTGGTGGGTTTTTTGAATAACATTAGCCTAACTTGTGCCTTTTTTGTTGCTACATATAAAGGTTGCTTCTTCTTCTTCTTCTTCTTCTGCTTCTTCTTACAGTGGTTATTCCTTTTCCTGATTATTTCGGTTTATTTGTTATCCTATTTTATGTAAAGATGATTTTTTGTTAAGGGACCATATTTGGGAAAATATATACTCCGTACTACGTATGTAAAGATGATATTGGCTCATATGTGCTCATAGAATCATTTACGCTTTATAAATCATTCCTACATTCTAAATAATGTAAATGTCGTCATCATGGTCAATGTGGTATCTAATTCTCATGTATGACTTGATTCTGCAGGATATGAAGCTCCAAAATTGAGGTATTGTTAATTCTTAACTTTGCTTATGCAACTATATGAATGCAGTTTTTCAGGCTATAATTGCTTGAAATGTTTTCGCTTGATTTCACAACTAGATGGTTTTTGTTTTTCCTGTTGGGCTAATTCTTGTGTAATTTAATATAGGTTAATTGCTCTATTCATCTAGATCAGGAAAAAATGTTCAACTTTCTATCACTGCATAGTGATCCAATGTATGCTCCTTGTGCATTCAGTCATGAAACAGAATTCAAAACCTATATATTTAATTTGGGACTTATTAGAATCCAAATGTGTATAGTAAATATGAAGGAAATATGATTTAAAAGATAAGAGGCACCTCCATGTATGATGATTGACGACATACCATTTAGTGGTTTTTTTCTTGTTATGTTCCTTAACTCATCTAAAATTGCAGATTACCTTTCAAAAAGGCTTTAAGAAATGAAATAACTATTATCCAGCCATTGCATCAACTAGTTTTAACCCCTCTGGATATGATATGTAATAAGTAACTATCAATCTACTTAATTTACTATTGCCTTTATATTGAAAAAAAAGGTTTACATTTCTCATTCAAGGAACAACTGGATTTGTTCTCTACAATCAGTAGATTTCTTCCAGTATTGTTGATTTTGTTTATTTTTCAAACTATTCTTCTTTTATTATGAGTTAGATTCATTAATTTTCATTTTTCAAGATAATTGGAGATAGGGTTTCCCACTATGTAAAAAGTTTAACTAAATAATTTGCTACGTTACACGGATTCGTTTAAATGTGTCAGGTATAGGCATGTATCCAAATCATAGAATATAGATGATCTCCAAATTCAAGCACATAGGGACATGGCTAAGTATTCACATTATGTAATTACTTCCTTTACTTTTTTGAATAAAATATTAATTTTATATAACATAAAATGTTTAACATGGACATTAATACAGTAAGAAAAGGAATATAATAAGAGTGTTTCATGTATATGGTACTTGAATCATTGGATAATCTTTTTAGCCACATGTTCAACTGGGCATAGTGGACCTAGCCTAGACCCTCAGGTCACGTGTCTGACACTGATATTTCACAGTATAAAAAGAAAGTGAAATATGGACTATTTGGAGTCCATGTTTTTGCAACTTGACGTTTAGCCTCAAAGAATAACAATAGGGGGAAGAGTTTGGCTTCATATACTTGCATTTCTGTACAATTGTGTTACTTCAGTGGCAATGTAGTAAACGCTATTTAAGTAAGCAAATGGAAGCCCCTTGGCAGTATGGAACTATGGATGACCAAATTTGCACTATTTATACACTTCTGGAAGCTAATATCGCTAGCTTTCAACTGTAAAGGAAGCTTGCTGACAAAGTTGGAGCTGCTGGATTCTATGTGGTGGTTCCTGACTTCTTATATGGAGATCCCTATGTACCTGATAATGCTGAAAGGCCTATACCGGTTTGGATAAAAGATCACGGACCGGTTAGTTGTCATCTTTATAACACCAAATCGTTTAAACTTAGTTTAAAGTTTGAACTAAATTTCCTTCAATTCCAAATCCAAGACAACGATTTGATGCTCCCAATAGCATTATTGATTTTAATTTGGAATTATATAATCACTGTGGAAAACTTCAAATGTTGTGTTTTCCCTCAGAACATATTTATCTTGTTTCATGTTTAACGTCATGCAAATATATTGGCTAGTTACTGACCCATCCATGTCTCATTTTCAGCCGGAAACAATGATATTTTCTAAAACTTTTCAACGATACTGAACTGTGTTTTTTAACTTTTTCTGACCTAGGTTGAAATCAGGAAGCCTAATTGTTTAGTTTTCCATAATCCAACTTAAGTAGTGCCAAAGCATTGGTGTCTGAAATATTCTTATTGTTCCTGTAGGATAAAGGATTTGAAGATGCAAAACAAGTAATTTCTGCTCTAAAAAGTAAAGGTGTATCCAAAATTGGAGCTGCAGGCTTTTGTTGGGGCGGTGAGTTTCGGTTTTTTTTTTTTTTTTTTTTCCCTTGAAAACTGTCTTTGATCTCCATCGTTTACGTTGCTTTCAACTTCTGCATCTTTATTCTTTGTTATTGTTATTGCTATTGGCTAACAGTCGGCTACTTGAATTCTTAACAGCCAAGGTTGTCGTGGAGCTAGCAAAGTGTGCCTATATCCAAGCTGCAGTGATGTTACATCCTTCATTTGTCACTTCAGATGATATCCAGAGTATGAATTCCATACTAAACCATTCCCAAATTTTTGGGTTTAAGTTTGTTTTATCAATAATTAAATTGGGTACTTAAAAGTAGGCTGTTAATAATCATTTTGATAGTTAGTGGAAGCCAATGTCCCTTGAATTTTCATTCAAAAGTAACATTCTTGATATTTTTCCATTTATATTTTTAGGGGTGGGGACTATGAGTTCTACCTTTTTTTTTTCTTTTTTTTTTTTTATCTGTTTTCATGGGGTGGGAAGGGTAAACTAGGGCCAGGAGTGGTTTAATTATTTGCTGGAGCATTAATAATCTGCACTATTTCAGGGGTTAAGGTTCCAATTTCCATACTGGGAGCTGAAATTGACAAACTGTCTCCACCAGAGCTCTTGAAAAAGTTTGACGGGGCCCTAAATGCTATGTCTGAGGTAGGCAATCAAGCTAATGCTTCATGTATATATTTAGGCAAAATGCAAAAAATACTAAATAAATTGAACTTTATCAGATTTGAAATAACCCCCTATGCTTTTATAAAAGTCTGTAAATTTTCACCTGCCGTACCTTTATCCATTAGCCAAAAAGGGCAAACCCAGTGCACAAGGCTCCCGCCATTGCGGGTCTGGAAAGGGTTAGATGAATGCAATCTTATCCATTAGAAAATGGATGAGAAAGAAGTTAGCCACCTGACATATTAACATTGTATTTTGATCAACACGTCCTTTTCTGTGGAGTGTGGACTAAATTAATTTTGGAAGATAATTTATGGAGCGATCCATATTTGGAACTCAAAGAGAGAAAAATGGGTTGAATTATTTCAACAATACATTCTAGAACTTTAACTTAATATTGGATAATTTTTTCTTTCAAAATCCTTCTTTTTAACTCGATTTTTTCATTTCTATTTCACAAGGACAGTTAACACAATTTTATTGCTATGGTCGTAGCTAAATTATCAAAGGGAGTTATTTGTAAATCTTTGATAGTTTGCAAACGGGATTAATTGAATGGGGTTTTTTGCATTTTGTCTTGTATTTTTTCATATGCAGATTCTGAGTTTTTAGTGATCATATCCTGCCTATAAACTCATCTTTCTTTGTTTGATTACTAATTGAGTTCCCCCACCCCCGGATAATAGAGTATTTTCTTTAGTAGGGAGGGATTTATCTTCTGTTTATATACTTTCTAAAACAGAATTGGATTTGGAAGGAAATTAATTTACCCTTTTAAATCCAAAAAAGCCTTTATATTTTGTGTCTGGATGTATTAACGGTTTATTGCTTTAAGATTCCTTTTATTTTGGTTAATTTATAATTATTTTGCTGGAAAAGAAATTTGATGATTGAAAACTTTTTGGTGGGTAACCTCTTAAAATTGACAATAGGATCTTTTTTTAATATTGAGTTGTATCAAAACAATCTTTTAAAATAATTAGTGGTATGAGCATTGTTATGGATGCATGTCAATGTGCGATGAATTGGGGGTGACAAATTAACTCCATACACTCCACCAAATCGACAATGAGTGCCATAATATCGAATTTACAGTAACCTATGAGTACATAATAATTCGTTTTATCTGCCCTAGTTTTCCCTTACTCTAAATCTCAAATTACAATACCCTGTTAGAATATTAATAAAGGAAAAAGTCTACAAATTAGTGTCACCAACCAAAAAGAATTAAACTAATGATGTGTTCTCTTTGCAGGTTGATCACTTTGTGAAGATATTTCCGGGAGTTGCACATGGCTGGACCGTGAGGTGCAAGGATGAAGATGAAGCAGCTGTGAAGTCTGCAGAAGAGGCTCACCGGGATATGTTGAATTGGTTTGATAAGTATCTAAAGTAAGAAACATTGTTAGGTCATATGAATACTTTTCTGAGGTGTAATAACTCGGCTGCCGCGGTTAAATTATGCAGCAGTTATATGTAGTAACTTGATTGTACTCCCTCCTCGATGGATTGTTTGGTTTAAAGATGTTTAATATGTAGTAACTTGCTTGTGCGCCCTCCTCGATTGATGGTTTGTTTTAAAGATGTTTAAGAATGAGCAGAATTTGTGATGTCGAAAGTTGGTTTCACATGGTGGATCATCTCTTACAAAGTGGCAAAGAAAGGACACTGGATGCCTTTACATAATTCTGAAGGATGGCATGCTTTGGCACGAGGCTTGTGCAAGGTGAGGCTCGTGAGAATGGACAAAATATTCAAGAGTCTGGTCCATTATGCTTCAACCCATCTTTCATATTTCGAGGGCGACAGTGTGGGTTGACAACACAGCCAGAAGGGGTGGCGAGTGTCGGGGCAGTGTAGCAATGTCGTGGTGACACTGGTAAGGCGTCTCCAGTATCATTTCAAAGTTTTTGGGTAATGGTGGTCAAGGTGATGGTAGCAATGTTTTCAAGGAATTCATTGGTGTAGGGGTGAAAGGAAAACATTCTAGAGGAGACAAATTGATAATCTGATCAAAGAGGATGAGCTTCCCAAAACTTCTAAAGTTTCATTTTGATCGGAGTTGAAATGGCATATGATTGTTGAGAGGAGTGGGTTGATCGGCATCAAGTATCCTGAATTTGACTTCCTAAAATTTGTATCTCCGGCCATATTTGCATATGTGAATTTCTCAATTACCAAAACAAAGACAAACTCTGAAAGTGCCCGATACCTGATAATCCACTTCAGTGCAGCCCAATATTCTTTGCTAGCGTTAGAAACAAATATATTATCGATACCAATTACATGTGCCATGTTTGGTTACACACCATGGCATACATTTTTTATTTTTTTTGTCCTTCAGTGGAATTTGAAGTGATTAGCAAGAGGAGACCCAACTGGATTGATTTGTCCATATAAAACCTTTTAAGCACCTTTTTGACATATTTTTCTTGTAATAGTCACAATTTCTTGACCTTCCTGTCACAGATAATCTTCAAGAATTTTTTTTGCTTGTCCCAAATCTTTTAATGCAAAAACTTAACTCTTTCTTCAATTTGTTAATTCTGTTAGTGTCATGACTGACGGATAAGTATATCATCAACAAAAAGTAGCATGGTGGTAAAATTATTATCTGAAATTCTCTAGACAAAAAAAATACAATCATATGAAGTAGAGACAAAAAAAAAATACAATTATATGAAGTTGTCAATTGTATATTCCTGTTCTCGTTAAGAGTTTTTAAAATTAGTTTAATTTAATCTTCAAAATATTGAATAGATAAAGGAATTTTCATTCTTTAAATTTAAACTTTTTTAACTATGTTTTTTGGAATAATATTTTTCAAAAAGAAAAAAACTAGTGTGTAAGCAAAATTCATGCATATATATATTTTTTAAATAAAAATAATAATAACCAAAGACTCGTATTTTATTCTTAAAAGGAGGGCAATCCGTTATAATGTTTTCTCTTTTCACCAACCCAGTGCCACTTGTCCTCTTAATATGCACACATGCTCCAGAACCATAGTCAAACACCTGGATAATTACACTCTCTGTGTGATTGTTACCCTCCATTCTTCTCAAAGATCTAAGGAATGTCAGGACCTCAGTGCTGTGAGAACCCACCAACCCTCAGCTCAAGTTGTGGAGCAGGACATGTAGAAGAACTTGGAGGCTTCAAGTCCTACGTTACTGGCTCCCCTGATTCCAAGCTTGCTATCCTCCTTGTCTCTGATATTTTTGGTACCCAGCTCTACTTATGATTTATTTATTTATTTCCAAATTGTATGATTTGGGTATTTCTTGATTAATCTGATGGGTATTTATCTTGGATGGTGAAATTGTGCTGGTGTTTTGTGCTTCTTTTTGTTGGTACCGTCTAAAGGTTGCTCTTTTTTATATTTTTTTTTCCTAATAATCGTCTAGATTTTTGCTTCGTACAAGTGGTTATTGCTTCCTTTGCATTTTGTTCCATTAAAAATAAATTAATTATTATTTGAGCATGTATTTCTTTTCCTGATAATTTTGGTTTATTTTTATCCTATTTTCTTTGAAGATGATTTTAGTTAGCTTTATACGTAAAGATGATATTTAAAAAGTTAAATATAGTTGGTGAATTAGCATGTAATAGAAAAGATTGGAGATAGAGAAATCACGTGGCGGACCCCATTTATATGGGATTAAGGCTAGATGATGGTGATGATAATGTATTCATATGTGTGCATGTTCTCTCATATATGCTTTATAAATCATTCCTACCTTCTAAATCATGTTATTGTCGTATGACTGTATCTAATTCTCATGTATGACTTGATCCTGCAGGATATGAAGCTCCAAATTTGAGGTATTGTTAATTCTAAACTTTACTTATGCAACTATCTGAATGCAGTTTTTCTGGCTATAATTGCTTGAAGTGTTTTCTCTTGACTTTACAACTAGGTGGTTTTTGTTTTTCCTGATGGGCTAGTTCCTTTCTAATTCAATATAGGTTAATTGCTCTATTCATCCAGATCAGGAAATATATTTAAGTTTCCACCACTGCAGAGCGATCCACTGTATGCTCCTCTTGCATTCACTCATGAAATAGAATTCGAAACCTGAGTATTTAATTCGAGACTTGTTAGAATCTGAACATGTATAGTGTTGGCACCCATTTTGGTAATTTGGATCTGGGCTCTAATTGGGCTTGATAAACATTAACATAGTATTATGGGCCAAGAGTATATGGGCCTGAAGAATGATGATGTTTAGGCACTCGGATTGCACAAAAATTGGGTTGAGGATGCAGTGATTAGTTCGGGCTTGGAAGGATGGCTTTAAAGCACTGGATTTGGGTCATGATTGGGCTGAAGGTAATTCGGATCAACAATTCAGATTGAAATAAAGCTTACCAGTGTTATACATGAATAAGGATTGCAGGTAAAGGAACAGTGACGTGGCAGGTTCTAGACAGGGCAAGGCTGCACGCAAAGGCTCATTGATCGGATAGGAATATTTTTGAAATCCTTTGAGACATTTTATGTTAGATAGGATTTATATGTTTACCAGATTTTAGTTAGGAATTAATCTTTATCTAGGAATCTCAATTTGAGTTTAAATTTAGTAGTTAGTGAGAGTTTTATTGTAATTAGAATACTAATTGGTAGGAATTTGTTTACGATATTTTTTATAAATAAACAAAGAGGCATGCTGTACTAGAGGTCCAGCACCCTCAGAATCATTATTATTATTTGTTTACTTTCTCAAGCTTTTCCAAGAATAGCATCCCTACTATTTCTTCTTTCTTTCCTTCTATATTTCTCAATCTCTCTTTCTATCTATTTCTCTCTCTCTATCCTCATTATTTTCCTTTCTTTTCTTGCTATATCTGTTTTCCTCCCTTTTCTATTCTCTTAATCTTTTACTACAATTTATTCATTGAAAAGTCCTTTTAACTAAGGCAATTCTTGAACTCTATGAGGAGTATCACTGTTCTCTTTATCCTCACATCGTCTGAAAGTCAACCCTTGAAAGAGACTATAAGTTGACAATTTTCAATCGAACCATACAATTGGTTCTGGCACGCTCGTTTTCCATCAATTTAAGATCAGATTCTAGGAGCCGATTTTAGGATCAACATTTTTGGCACGCCCGGTGGGACCCATCAGGTGAGTAATTATAGTAAATATGCCTCTAAAGCTAAGAAATTCGAAAGGTGTGACAACAGGTGACAATGCGGATGAAGAGAACCAGCAACTTGGCGTTGGTGATGATGCCGACTTATCTATTCCATCCGATCTTCCTTTGGGTCAGGTACTGGAATTGATTATGCAGAAAATTGATGCCCAGCAAGCACAGATCGGTGAAGTAAGGTCTCAGGTGGGGGAATCAAATCAAATTTTGGTTTCTCAGATACATGAGATGAGGTCGATGACTGGAGAATTAAATCAAATGATGTACGCTCAAATGGAGAAGATGAATCAAAGGCTTGAAACCAGTATATCGGCTAATCAAAATCGACATGATCAAGCCGAAGCATCTCATATTAATGAGTCCATATTTCAGCGTATGACGGCACCATTGATACATATTTCCCAAGGGCCTCGAACAAGCATCGTATCACCAAGTGCAGGAATTGGTATTACTATCGGCAATGTGCCGAATCATACACTCGGTATGCCAATGGGGAATCCACCAATCTTATCAGATTTGCCGGCAGTAAATACTATGTCGGTGTACTAGCCACCAATGAATGATCAGCATAGTCAAAATGTGCAGCGTCCACATGTGCAGCCGATTCACCAGCGAGAGATCAGCAAAAAGTAGTAGGCAACCTAAACCAAGGTAGGGCTAATCCATTGATACGTCCAGCGGCTGCTGGGGGGCAAGTAAATGCTGATCATCAAAGGGAGTGGGTTAATCCATTTATTCCTCGGCACCCAAATGATTCTCCAGGAAGAAATGCAGGGATTGATAAGGCTCAGATTTTGGCTTTAATATAGGCTGAAGTAGCACAAGGTCGCAGATGTGCTCGGCCAGTATACAAAAAGCCCTATACTGATCATGTCGATGCTCATGAGTTGCCTAGAAATTATCGGTATTCCGATTTTTCTATGTACAGTGGCAAAGAAAATTTCTCTACGGTGCAGCATATTGCAAGGTTCACCGCACAATGTGGAGAAGCAGGTCCTAGCCCTTGGTTAAGGATGGGGTTATTTTCTAGCTCTCTTACCGGAGCGGCGTTTGAATGGTACAACAACTTATCGGCCAATTCTATTCAGACTTGGGATGAGATGGAGGAGGCGTTCTATACCCAATTCTACTGAACAGAGACAAAAGCTACACTGGTAGACATATCTCGATTATCTCAGTTGCCGAGTGAATCGGTTGAGACTTTTGTTGCCAGGTTCAGAAAGGTTAAACTCAAATGCCGAGTAAGTTTGCCAGAACCAGAATACATCAAGTTGGCATTAAATGGTCTAGACATTGAACATCGTAAGAGGTTTGATGGGGTTGAGTTTCAAAATCTCTTTGATTTGGCAGACAGGGCTTCTCGGTATGAGGAAATACTTAAAGAAGAGAAAGAGAGGAAGAATTCTTCTAAGGGTACTTGGTACAAGGACCCTAATTATGAGATATTTTCAGCAGAAGTTGGAGATGAATTAGAAGTTGACGTTGCAGAAGTCAATATCAAAAAGCCATACGTTTGTGAGGCGTTGGTTAAACCTAAACCGACCACGGGGGGCAATGCATCAACATCAATATCGGCAACAAGGAAAGGTCCTGCCAATACCGGGAAAAGTTATTCTTTCGACTTGTCGAAAGCAGATCAAATCTTTGATCACTTGATGGCCGATAAAATGATATCTTTGCCTAAAAGGTATAGGATTCCATCGGCAAGTGACTTGAAAGGAAAATAGTATTGTAAGTATCATAACTCTTGGAACCATGCTACTAATGATTGTACTGTTCTACGAGGTGTGTTGCAGAAAGCTATTGACAAAGGTACTTTAAAATTCCCGAAGAAAACTTCAGAGACTATGAAGGTAGATTCTAATCCATTTCCTACAATCACATCTACAAATGTGATAAGCTTAGCCAAGCGAGAGAATCGGCAGGAGGCTGAAAAGATATCTGGTGAGTTCCTTTCATCAACTGCGACACCTGAAAAGATGGCAGAATTGCAGAAGCAATTAAGGGAGGCTCAATTAGCCTTGATTGACCATAGTTGTTGCCCAAATTGCAAAGGAAAGCAAAAACCAAAGGAAGATGTGCCAATGGAGGTTAAACCAAAGAAGAAAGGAATTCTTGAAAGGCTTATTTTCCCATTGAAGCCTGGGGAGGAGCCTCGGCAAGGTGGTCCCAGCAACGGCCATTTGAAAGCGAGAAGGCCAACTCGGCAAGTGGAATCTAGCCGATTTCATTCCCAAAATCGGCATCCCAGTTTCAAGAGGCAGTCGTCGGTTCAGTCAGAAATTTGGGTACAGAAAGGAGCCGATTCATATAGAGTACAAACTGTAAAACTAAGGACGGACTCAACTGAAAATAGATGGACTCGAGTTAATCATCCAAAGTTCCCTAAAGTTCAACAATATCAGAATAGGGGCCTAACTTGATCTCAGAAGCGTAGGGAACAAAGGAGAAGGGCTGAGGAAAAAAGGAAAGCTGAGGGAGGAAGCAAAGTAGTGCAAGCCGAGGAATTCGGCATTCCAAATAAAGATGAGGAACACCAGCTGACGTGGCCTAGACGCAACAATGAGTTCAAAATTCAGTTTGACAGTTTCTCAGATGAGATGTCATGTAACATGGCATTTGTATTACTAGCAATGTTCCAGGCTCCATCGGCATAAAATGCAAGTACTGAGAAGAATGAGAAGGAAACTCAGCTGATTCGGAATTTATCAATTCTTTCCTCAGAATCGGCAGAGAAGGTAGTCTTTGAAAAACCTTTGTTAGCAATGACTCAACAACTCAGGCCTTTGTATGTTAAGGTATGGGTAGAAGGTCAACCAATCAATCGAGTCTTGGTAGACAATGGCTCGGTTCTGAATGTTATTCCAGCAAACACATTGAAGAAACTCGGCAAGAGTATGGAAAATGTTATTCCTACTGATGTAGCAATTTGTGGTTTCAACGGAGGCTCTACTAGCACTAAGGGTATCCTTCCCTTAGAAGTAAAAGTTGGAGGTAGGACATCTTTTGCGGCATTCTTTATTATTGAATCCATGGCTTCCTATAATTTGTTATTAGGCCGTGATTGGATTCATCCAAATATGTGTATCCCATCATCATTACACCAGATGCTGATTTTTTGGGATGGAGATAAAGTGAAAATAGTAAATGCCGATGATAAGCCATTTGGGGCAAAAGTGTATTTGGCAGATGCTGTTTTGTATGACGAAGAATGTGTTCCTATTCGATTTGTGGGAACAGGAGCCGACGGAAGACCAACCTCGGCAACCATGAGAAGAAGTCTTGCTGACCATGAAATCGGCGAGTTGCAGTAGGAGAATTCCAGGCTGAAGGTAGAACTCCCTCGACTTGCTATAGTTGAACAAGTTGTTGATGGAAGCGAAACTTGAAAGGGAAGCTGCTCAGCAGCAGGCCTTTAGGGCCGCTTGCATTAGGCTACAAGCATATATAGCCGAAAAACAGCTAGAAAAAGAAGCAATAATAGAGCCAGGACCATCGGTTAATCTTACTGAGATCTATCGGTTCAGTAATGAAAAGTTGGATGCAATTCAGTTGGAAGACTTGGAGTTAGCACCAGCTAAGCTCGATGATCTAAATGCAGAAACTCAGGATCCATTAAAGGAGGTGAATTTAGGCACTGACGCAGAGCCTAGACCAACTTATATCAGTGCA